GAGTGCATCTGCCATCCTTTTGTTATTTTGACAGCATTATAAGTTTGGTTGTTTTTCATATTTGTTTATTAAGGCTGTTTGTTTATTGATGTTTTAAACTTATAATGAGAAAGATGGCCATAAGAAACTGTTCTCAAAGTCAGGAGCAGAACTAGAATTTAAGAAGTGAGTGTGACAATATGAAAAAAATTTAGGTATATTTGAAAATAAATTGACAATAGGAAGGTTGTAGGGATGATGCATAATTTATGGGGCGCAAAATATATATTTTATACAAATTTAAGTCTTAATTTAAAGTATACACCAAAAAAAATTTCAAATTACTAGAAATAAATTGTAAACTTTCTCAAAAATGGCACCCTTATTGATAAACATAGTTCCGCCCCTGCTCATAGTTCTGATTTCTTATCTGTCCCATGTCATGTGAAAGGAAATTTAGGACCTGTTTTCTTCTTCGGAAGGGGTAGCTGCTGCCTTTCCCTTTTTCTTACGTGGCATGTCCGGATTTGGGTATGTGATGGTTTTTCTATTATGGTGCAGTTGGAATGCTTTGGACTGGGGAAACACCAGAAGCTAAAGCAGTTGAGGAAAACATGGCAACCTACTTCAATACACTCCAGGGTTTGCTTCTGCTTTCTCATGGAAGTATGATAGGTTCAGGACCTACTCTTTCATCTGCTATCCTTGCATCCATTAAGCAAGTTGTTGACTGCAGTTTTAAGTTGATGATGGAAACTGTCTCCTCATTTGGTAACATCTCTCTCTCTCTCTCTCTCTACACACACATGAAAAAATCCGCACACACATGCATGCACTAAACAAGCACATTATGCAAAGGAATGCATGCATAATCCTATTAGTTGTGTTCTTTTCCATAGATCCCGTGCATGTCTTTTATCTCATCACTGTCCCTTTCAACATACGACTTGCTAAATTCATCGAATCCCAAGGTTTGTAATGTATTATAAGTTGGGGAAACCAGAGTATGTTGATTATACAGTATTAAAATGAGCATAGATATATATATTGTGATTAAGGAATAACCAATTATTTAAAAGTATATAAATTCTCTTGTATCCCAGAATTTCACTATGAGGCAGAACAGCTATTATCTATGGCCATTCAGGACCTAAAATTTTATTATAATACTGGTTTTAAAGAAATAAGTCAAGCAGTGTTGAGATAATAGAAACAAAAAACAGGAATTTGAGAGGGAAATTGCAGAACTCTTCTAGAAGGATTATCGAAACTGGATTTAGCTTGTTTGATATGTTTAATCTTTTCTGGCGAGACAAACCGCAATTGATTACTTGAAGTAACCTTGGCATTGGAATGTGCAAATTCCCTCCATGATTGCTTGTTTCCAGGTGTAGACTAGTTTTACAAGGTTATTTAGGTCATCTTATGCATCAACATGATTGTGTGGTGATTTGTCAAGCCTTTTAAACGGATGGACTTTGATGCTTTTTATTTCTTCCTTCCCTATAAAATGCACACTAGCAGGATCTCGCAATAAAGACTTCAAACTTGTAGTCCCACAATTAGTTGGTGCAGTATGGGAAGCATGCACTGCTCTTAAGAAGACTCCGGCTTCAAATATCACAGCAATTGGGCGAGCAATGACACAAGTTGCAGTTTCAGTGAAGGATGTCCTTCGAGAGATGAAGGAGCTCAAGCCAGACTCCTCCAATCAGACAGAAGAACCTTCTGATAATGCTGCTTTTCATGCAGAAACTAGAGTCGGTGATGATGATAGTCTGAGTGATGATCTAGGCAATGACTTATCACCTGAAGAGATGAAAGTTGCTCAGTCAGCAATTGGGGTTGTGTCTGAGACAGTTGTAGTCATAAAAGAACTTATCCGCACCATCACCGGCTTGCTTAAGCAGGAAAAGCCTGAAGACAGTAGCGATTTTGTGGACACTCTGGAGAAGTTATTGAAGCTGTGCCAAGAGATTGGAGTGCAGGTTGATGAGCTTGGGGCATGTCTCTATCCCCCGCAAGAATTTCCAGCTATGAAGGCAGCTTTGGAGAAAATATCTAGTACTATTGACAATGTGCAAGCAGAGGTAGAAAGTTTGACAAGCTCTTCAGAAGCTATTTTCCAGGCATGCAATGATTTGAAAAGTTCAATGAAACAAATGGAAGCTACACTGGATTGCTGTAGTACCAGTGATATAGAATCCATAATGCAGAATGTTGCTCTAAGCTGTTAGAGGGATGGGGAACTCGCTCAGATTTTGTTTCTGTACGTAATTATGTTCGATTCTTATTCTATCAAAATATTTCCAAAAAAAATTAAACAATAGATTGTTTATCGATCAAGGTCGCTCCTGAATCACTACCATGTTAGCTTGACTCGAAATGGATAACGGGTGTAAGGACTTTGCTGGATCATAACTGAAGTAAAAGAGACCATATTTAGTTGAAGGGTAAAAGGGCCAGAGTATGACTTGGGAAGGTAACATTGGACATGAGATGCGGCGAAACATATATGAATATGTGACTATCCTCAATTGGAGTAACTTCTTTGACAAGTAGTCATGAGTACCATTTTTGTTCTCCCTTCTAGTTGAAATATAAGACAGCATCGGATAGCATGGGGATGTGTTGGGAGGCCCAAGAGGTCCATGTTGAGATTGTTTTTTAGTAATATGTAAGATGCTGTCTTATGCAGTATTTGATCTGCGCACACAAATTTTAATGCCATCTTACGCTAGAAGCACTCGAGTAAGAGGATCTCTTGATGTTGTAAGAACAGCAGCGACTGCAGCAACGACAACATATATTTCTCAAAATGAACAGCATTTGGTCTCCTGAAACTAGGCCAACTTGTCCAAGAAGCCTGTCGAAAAAGATGGTGTTATCTAGGGCAATCTGTAAGCTTTGGCCTTTCATCATGCAGATTACAGTGAAACTTTTGGTTTTGGTGTTTAAACGGCAAATTTGGCTGCTTGTTTTATAACACAACAAGACGGCGTGGTTAATTCGCTGCACGCAGACAATTTCCTATATTGTTAACATGTATTAATTAATATATTTCCTGGTTTTTTTTCTTCAAAATTTCCAATATTGTTGTGCATATATATATCATCAACATATATAAATAAATATATACAGCAACATATTAGACCTTAAAAAAGTGCTAATGGTTCGTTATGCTTTAAACTGACCAGCTAAGCAATTATTCTACTATCAACTTTCTCTTGAAAGAAAGATGTGTTTCTTGTTGATATTCTTTTGTAAGAACTGCCATGAATCTTCTTCACCTTCCTTTTTTCTTCCCCTTAAGAATAAACGTCTTCCCTTCGATTTTGGCTGTTTAAAATTTTATAGCTTATAACAACTTTGTTTGGCTCCAGCGTTTTGATTTCTTTGTCACAGTATATTTGTATTTGTGGACATTCTAGTTCTTACAAGAATTCTGATCTTTTGCTTGCTTTTGTTTCTCCTGGATGTTGTTGTATTATATCTCTGTTTTATTTTTCAGGGAGGAAGAAATCAAAAAACCAGAGCGAGGTTGGGCACCTGGGCCCATTAGAACCAATACCAGAATATACAGCTGATGGAAGGGGAGAAGAAGATCAGCCACCCTCTTGACGAGCTTAAAAAGAAACAAAGCCTAGTTTTTTAGCCTATTAGAAACAATGACTATTGGGCAACTTACTCAATGGCTTAGGTTGAAAAATCTGCATGTTTTAGCATCCGGTCGGTTTCAACAGGATGTTTGTAATACACAAATGGAATATTACAAACATATATTACAAACATCCGACCTATGAGGAACGACAAAGGCACTGAAGACATCACAGAATTTTACTATTATTGTTCAAGCTATGTATGTGCATCACAAGAAACATGAAATTTTATAATCAGTTTTTTGTTTTAGATTAGACTCTACGAGAAGAGGGTAAATTGAGAAATTAAGGAACAAAAGAGAAGCAATGGAGAAGGGAGAAGGGCGAAAAAAGGGAAGCAAAGAGGAAGGAAGAAATGAGAAGAAAGGACCAAACGCCAAGAAGCAAGAATGAGAAACCGGAAATCAGGGAGAAGAAAATACAAAGAAATAAGAGATGATGATGAACAGTTAAAGTAACAGTGACTTAGAGTCTGAGTCTACAGTGTTTTATCTCACAATGAACAGGGTTTCAAATAGTCACTACAGTAAAAGTTCGTTTTCCTTTAGTTTCTTTGTTAATAGGCGATTCTTGACTTTATCATGTTGATATCGTATAGTTGTGTTGTTATCTTGATGCATGTGATTGCAAGAATCGCAATTTAAGTTAACAGGGTGATTTCATGCTTCTTTATTTGGTTACTGAAAATCCAATGGTGGAACCTTCATTATATTATTTGTGCTCTTGAATTATCCTTGTTCTTTTTCGTTGACGAAAACCATCTAACTTCGCTAATTGCCAGTACATATGAGAAAGTGCCTGAATCGACTGCTGAATAAAGGCCCTTCCACCAAATTAATGTCAGCAAGTTGAAACATCTCCGGGTCATATACTGCTGCCATAGAGGTGGACAATTTAATACTCAACAAAACTATACAAAGATGTAATATGCAATCCTTGTTTTCATTGATGCAGAAGCTTATGCCAAGGAAGGATCTATGCTCATGGTATACCTCGGGGATGATCAGGTTAATATTACTTGATCCATAAGCGCACTATTGAGAGAGAAGTACAGCGCCTTATCTTCTTCATCCTATCAACAATTTGGTCATAATGCACAATATATAATGAAAGTGGCATATTTCACAATTATCATTGGGCTACTCAATATAATGGGTTTCATACAACATCATCATCGGCATATATCAAACAAAGCTCTTCTTCTTTGATTGTACAACTCAAACCAGAGGTGTGAAAGATGCTTGCTCTCCTTCCCTGTCCCCTTGACATTCATCATCTTTAGGTTATCAACCGCAGCCAGTCAATACTACTGCACAGGACTTTGGGGACAAACCCCATGCTTTGAACAGCGGGGACAATCAGTCATCTGCCCGTTAGCTTGACAACCCATGCACCACCCAGGTAAAGACCTAGAAGCGGTGCTGCTAGAAGCATCTGAGTAAGGGGATCTGTTGATGGTGTAAGTATGGCGGCTGCAATAACTGCACCAACTACAACATATCTCCAAATTGACAACATTTGGTCTCCTGAAACTACGCCAACTTGTCCAAGAAGAATTTGGATTACAGGAACCTGTTAAATAAGATGGTTAGCTTGATCTATCATATTCCTGGGTTTACTGTGACGTTTTGACATTTCATCCTCGAATAATTAAAAAAAAAAAAAAAAACCACTGACACCCACACAAACAAAACAAAAGAGTAAATTGAATAAATAAATAAATAATACAAAATCACATGGTAAAAGAACCATCTTAGCTTGTTTTGTAGAACAAGAGAATGATGAAAAAGATATTGTTTTTTCATTAAAGAAAGATGATGAAGCAGTTAAAAACTTCAAAAATACTAAAGTTGCATATAGCACTCCCAATTAGTAGAGACTAAAAACAATCCTTCATGGCATAATAAATAAAAGCTCTGGCACATCCAAACAGATAAAATGGAGAGGATACAAAAAATATTTACCTGGAAGGACAAGCCTGTGCTGAACATAAGCACAAGCACAAATTCAAAGTATTGATCAATAGACCACAAAGATTCCACAGCCCCTTCAGCATAACTAACGAAGAAATTCAAAGCTGCTGGAGTTAAAACCAAATAAGAGAAGACAATTCCAGCATAGAAAAGTACTGAGGAGCCTAAAACAATAGGCCCCAAGAACCTTCTCTCTGATTTGGTTAAACCTGGAAGAACAAAGGCTATGACCTCATAGAGAATAATCGGGCTTCCCAAGAGAAGGCCGCAATATCCTGAAACCTGCAACACAACAGGCATTTTATTGTCATGGACAGCAACTTATCAATATCCAATTAAAATACGAATAATAAAAGAATGAAGATTTTGAGGTTGAACTTAAACAAGATAGACCTCATGACTTCTTAGAGAGGAAAACCAGTGAATGAAAGAAAGAAATCTGGTGAATGAAGAAGTTTGATGAGAAAGACATCTCGTGAATGAAGAAGTTTGATGAGATTCAGCAAATCCACATGCATAAATATCTTATACCCTTGAGATCCCATACTTTCTGCTACACCATATGATAATGGGTGGGGAAAGAAGAGAAGGGCTTATACTGGGGATTAACCCAAATACAAGGTATAAAGCAGAAAGAAACAAAGACAGTGAATGGTATTTGACTAAACGATGTGCAGGATGCAACATTCAAAAAAACAATCCCCTTAAAGTGGACTTTTGATTGCCAAACGAGAAACATAGGTTCATTATCCCCGTCTAATTTGACATAAAAAGGAATAATATGGTAATATTATGTAATTGCAACAGACAAAATGGCATGCATTACAGAAGGCAAAGGATATTGATTCAGACTAACCTTTAAAGTCGTGAAGAAAAATTCTCCAGGAGCTAGTTGAAGAAACCTTACACCTTGTGATTTAACAGGAGCTTCAAGAACCATAACGAGTTCTTTTGAAAATGCAAAGCATCCCAAGATAGCAGCTCCAACCGCCAAAACTGACACAAATAATCTCTCTCGCAACTCTTCAAGATGATCAAATAAAGTCATTTCTTTATCATCAGGAAGGAGCTCTTTACTGGGATAAAGAAAGTTATAAATCGGACTTCCTTCGTTATCTTGCCCAAGGTTTTCTTGCAAACTATCAACCATATCTGTATTGTCCAGTAGAAAATTGAAATCAGAATCTTATTTACAGACATGTAATCATTATTACTACCAAGTACCTGGATTAGATAAACTAAGAATCATTATGCATTCAGAAGTTTCCATCAAAAGTGTTGCAAAAAGCAGGCAACTCGTTATTGATGAATGATGAAACGAGGTTAAAGAATCTAGAATCTCGAATGACAGAGTAGTTTGCAAAATCATTATCAGAAATACATTTTCTATGCTATTATTAGCATGTGACGGCGGAGAGTAAAACTAGTAATTCACAGTAAACAGCATTCTTGCATAGCAGGTCCATAAATAAACGACAAGAACATTCGATTCTCTTCAACCCCAATAATAATAATAATAATAATAATAATAAGGTAAGTTCGATAATTAGAAAGAGGAAAATTTGAGAAATTAGATTATCAAGAATAATCTTACCAGGCCTATCCTCGAGAGCTGAGCTGGTGCTAGTACTTGTTGAGTCTTGCTGCTTCTCGCTGACGTCATCGTCAACAGCAGCGAAACAAACGACTCTTCTGAAACTGGTGGACCTGCTCTGCGAAGCATCGAATCTCAATCTCCCTCTTTTCTTCGAATTAATGTTGAGTTGTAGCGAAGGAAGTCGTTGGTGTTGGTTTCTAATGGAGTCCAAGCGCTTGTAGAAGCAACTGTAGAGTTGCAAATGGGGGATGAGACCTGCGCTCGTGCTTCCCATCTCTCTCTCTGTATCTAAATATCTATGGAGTATAGTTTTGTTTTCTTTGTTTTTATTTTTATTTTTTCCGAAGATGTTGCAGTTAGCTATACACACAAGGCAGATAAATCTGAACGGTGAATGATTGATTGGCTCTCATTATCGTCTAAATTTCGGGCTTCTGCTGATATTTTTCTCATTCCATTCCTTCCTACCGGATTTTGAAAGTAGCCTACACAGTTGACTGGCCTTTCATGGACGAGCCCATTGGATTTACATTTGGAGCCCATTCATTTGCTTACCAAACAAAACATAATTAATTCTCATAAAATAACAGATTTTTTTTTTCAAATTACAAAATTGTTTTGCTAGATGTGCTTTGGATAAATACCATGGTATGATTTGAAGCGCTCTTCAAATTGATTTCAAAAACTTCATCATTTAGCATGTCTAAATTTACGTGCTTATTTATATTTAGGATATTATTAAATTCATTATATATTTTGTTACTTCTTTCAATTTTTTGTTATAAATTATTAATAAATCCATACATTTAGTTGCTATTTCATAATTAACTTGATATAATAAAGGTGTGTTGATAATTTATAATAAAAATTTCGATGGAAATAACAAAATATATGATGGATTTAATAATATTCTTATATTTATACTTATGCCATTATTAAATTAGAATGATTTTTATTTAATGATTTTCATTTAAAATTATAAATTAATACATTGCAACTAAACCTTTTCATTTATTTATTTTTATTTTTTTATCCTTTTTTTTAAAAAAATATTAATATCTATCAATTAATAATTATAGGATATAAAGTTGATAGAAAGCACGTATAAGTTTTAATTAAATTAAGAAAACTAAGGAGCGGAGTAGAATAAAATGGTCATGTTTTTCGTTTTTAATTAATAAATGCTCAAATAGAAGTTTAATTAAAATAAAACAATAGCAATATTTTACTGAACCAGTTATATATATATATATAATACTGCATCAATTATTTTAAGAAATCGTGCTTTTAAATATATGTTTATATATCGATGTTATTTAATTTTGTTATAAACCAAAGCAGTGCTAAACTTGCAATATATATATATATTTTAATCTTGATTTTGTTAAAAATATTTTTTCGAGAATGATGATTTTTTTTAAAACTTGAAAGCGCATTAAAGGAAATATTGTGTTTTCAATAGCATGGAAAATAAAATAATTATAAATCATTGCACCAGAAAGAATAATATATCCCTCCAAAAAAGAAAATTGCACAATTTTGGAAGTAGTGCCAAGCTAATATTTACTGAAATGAAAACTAATGCTCCGAAAGAATTTTTTTTTTTTTTTAAATCACAATAAAAAAAACCCAAAAAATGAAATAAAAACTCAAAATAAATTGAAATTCAACTTTTGTAACTGTTATCTACCAACCTCAGAACATGGAACAGCTAAGCCCACCAAAATAAGGCCTATATCACCTAAAACCCAAGGACTTATCCGTAATTACATCACACTCCCCCTTGTACAACCCTTCCTGGCCCTAAATTTCTCAATCTTTCCCGCCATTTTCATCATCTCACAGTAGCATTATCTCGATTTGCTTAAAAAAAAAAAAAAAAATCGAAATCCCCAAAATGGGAATCGAAAATCAAGCAGAGAAATCACTAAATCTGATAAGGAGCAGAATCTGCAACCCTAATTTCATCTTCAAGCCTCTCTCGGATTCCCCTGACAGCAACTACAGGTGCGTTTGATTCCCCACTAAGTCTCGCTGTTAACGAATTTCCAATCATCTTTTTTTTGAATAACGTGGAAGAATTTTTCAGCAAGTTGAAGTTTATAATATCGAGTTCGATCACGGAGGCTTGCAACAATTCCATTCTACTCCTTGGACCTCGTGGCTCTGGCAAAGTCGCCGTATGCATTCCCCTTTTCTTTTAGTTTGAGCCTATATTTGTTCTCGAGAATATAGTATTAAAGATAATTAATTGAATCAGGTTTTGGAGCTTGTTCTCAACGATTTATTGGAACAGTATCCTGATACAATCACTGTTGTATGTATTTATACTTGAATTTATTTATTTATTTTTTCTTATTTTCTTTATTTGTCCTCTCTCTCTCTCTCTCTCTCTCATATTTGCAGTGACCTTTTTGTGATGCAGATTAGACTGAATGGGCTATTGCATAGTGAAGATAATTCTGCCTTCAAGGTCATATATCCCCCTCCCCCTCCATTTCAACATGGTGCCGAATTATACAATGGTTGTGTTGATATACTTATTTGATCGAGCTTGATTCTGATGATAATAAGAATGCTGCTCATTTTGCCACGAACAAGAACTCCATTTTCTGCTTGCTGTGTTAAGGAAAGATGAGATGCTGCTCCTTAAACAGCTTGTTCAACATAGGTTTTGTAGATTTGAACTGTGGTTCTTACCCTGATGGTTTGTTGATATATAATTCATTGATTAGGTATTGTTGTGGAAACTGTATGAAGTAACCATTTTGTGATGATAGGTAATTTTGCAAGCAAATCAGTAAAAATATGTAAATATTAAACGTGATTTTGTGGAGATTAAGTGGGTTGTAGGATATGCTAATTCTAAAATATGTAAATATTTATATATTTGCAATGGTTATTGATCATTCAGGAAATTGCCAGACAACTATGCATGGAGCACAATTTGTTATTCTCAAAAATGGTAACTCGAAATTCTGTTTTTGTTGAGAATGGAGACTTATAATGAAAGGTTTCGAACTTTCCTGATCTTGAGATGATTCTTATAGGCATCCTTTGATGATAACTCCCAGTTCATGATAGCCATGTTGCGGTGAGTTCTAATCTTTTGTTTCACAGGACATGTAAGTCTATCAGACTATCTTAACTTGGACTAATTGTGTTGTCTCTTGCTGTCAGGGAGTGTGGATTAGCACATAAAACAATTATTTTTGCACTTGATGAGTTCGACCTATTTGCCCAGGTAATACAACCCTTTCTTTTTTCTAGTTTCTCATGGCTGGTGATTTTGACCTCTCCAGTTTAATTGTGGCTATGTATCATTAGTCCATGTAGGAGTTGTTCTTTTGAGGAAATTTTTACTAGGGACTGTTTGTGATAGGGATTTTTTTATATATATAAAATTTAGAAAGTTTAATTTAGTTTGAAATCTTAGATTAATATATTTCCAGTTTCCTTGTTTTTCTTTTTTCTGGTTTTCCTTTTTTTAGGGAAAACAACGATTACTTTATAGCTTGTTGGATGCAATGCAATCAGTAACTTCACAGGCTGTTGTTGTTGGTGTTAGTTGCCGACTGGTATGTTACATAGTTGTTCATTGCATTGTTTTTTGCTTTTTTTTCCCCCATTATTTATCATTAGCAAAGAGATGCTTACCATAATTATTTTCGGGATCTTTTACTTGAAAAATTGTAAATCTGCTGGAGAAGTGGAAGCTCTTCTCCCCAGAGTTATCTTTAAACCCAGCACTTAAACCAATTGGCAGTAAAATAAGCAGAAAAGAATGGTTGGATACAAAATTAATGCCCATTCTATTCGCAGTGCGTTGAGTATACATGATTATGGTAGTTTTGACCTGTTGAGATGCCTTAAAAATCAAGCTGTGTCTGCAGGATGCTGATCAGCTTTTGGAAAAAAGAGTAAGATCTCGGTTTTCTCATAGAAAGTTACTGTTTCTTCCTCCATCTAAGGAAGATGTACAAAGGTAATTTCCCATTGCATGAGTTGGAAGAGTCATGGTGAAATCCCGGTTTTCTTACATTCTGGTTATGCAGATTGTTGGAGCACGTCCTATCTTTGCCAATGGACTCAAATCTTGCCCATGACTATGCTACTGGATTCAATGAAAAGCTTCAAGTATGCTTCATCCCACTCGTCCTTTTTTATTGGATAATGACTATCATGGTCATTTCATGCATATTAATATTCAAACTGTATCATCTTGATATTTAACAGAGTATTTTAGCAGACGAGAGATTCAAAGAAATCATCAGTACTTATTTGAATTCCAATCCTACCGTCAATCATTTATTGAGATTTCTGTAAGTTTAGTTCCTTGCATCTGGAAACATCGAATGTTATAAACTACCAGTTATTGAGGTTATAATAAGCTTACTGTTTGATGCTAGATTCCTTGCCATCTCGCATATGGAACTGAAATCAGGGTTCTTGTCACTTGAGAACTTTAAAGTTGCACTTTCAAGTCTCCAAAGGCAGCCAAAGCAGGAATGCATAAAAGGTCCCCCAATTTGAACTTCCTTTGGTATTTATTTCCAGCTGTACTTTGTCACCTGTCTTACGAAAGTATATTTTCATAAATATTAGATGCTCTTGTAACTCATCTGTTGTCTCCTATGTGCTTTTCAGTTGCTCATACCATCCAAGTACCACCCCCACATAATAATATCCTGCATCTTGGGTGATAGACACCAGTTCATTCTATGAGATACTTACCCATTGTTTATAATTGATTCAAGTTTTCTTAGTTGTATATTTTAATTAGCTTTGACATAAAAAAGTGAAGAAAACTATGAATAATACTGCTCCATGAATTTTTGAAAAAATATATCTACATGAAAGTATGGGAAATAATTATGTCTTGTTGGTGAGCTTGATATCATGACATGTTTTGGCAGATTGCTCCATCTTAGAAATCTACATCCTCATATGCATGAAGAGATTGGAAATTAAAGAGCAAAATTCTTACAACTTTATTTCAGTAATGAAAGGTCAACTTCACACATTTCTTGTATTTTTATTACACCTTATTATCATGTTAATTTACTGATATGTTTTTCATATATGGCAGAGTACAAAAGCATACATGATTCGTTCCCGACTTCTGATTATTATGCACAAAATGTTTGCCTACGGGTCTGTATAAATCTCATTGAAACCTCTGTTATGGGTGTTCAACCCAGTTTCCTCCATCATATTTTGACAATATTTCACCCTAACTTCTGCAGGCATTTGAACACCTTCTTCAACGTGAATTAATTTGTTTCACAGAGAACAGAGGTCACGGTCAATCTATTGAATTTCGTCCAGTGAAGCTTGTAATCTCATATGCTGAACTGCAAGAGGGGCTGAAATCATATCGTTCCTGTCCCGTAAGTCACTCCTCCCAATATAGTATCTGTTTCTAAGAACTGCATTGCTATCTCATAATTTTGCATCTGGTTTAGGTAAAGCAGATTATTTGCTTGCAAATGAACCAGTCAACCATGTTGTTGAATTATGAAATCATTGGGAGCTTTCTAGGATGTCCTCATATGCAGTTCTGTTCTTGCCATCAAATCATTGATTTCTGTTACTTTCCACCTCTTGTTAGCTATTGAAATTTGCAATAACTGATGACTGCATCATTTTGATTCTGCCGGCAGGCCATTCTTCTAAAATTAATTGATCGCTGAAGTCAGAGCAGCTGTACAGAGACCATGTTAATGGCTGATTAGCTTCTTTGTGTTTGACTAGAGATCGATGGAATTTGCATCTGTTGTATTCTTTCAAGGCAATTGCACCAGCTCTGCTGGATACAAGAGATTGTTGCTAGCTCTGCCGCTGATCATGTTAGCTTAGATATTTGTTATTTATCCCTGATACTTTGCTCATTGTATTTATTACTAATTGCCGCGTAGCTTTTCTTGAAGATCAATAATTTCTTAATACCGGAATTTTTAAAACGCCAGGCTCTGAATTTCTTTCCCAGGTGGTATCTGTTTGATTACAAGATTGTCACTGCTGCAAAAAATCTGGGTGAAACGCAACGAATGATATATTTTTAATGCTAGCTCTACCTGACGGTATGATTATGCTGCAAAGCTTAAATGGGAATGATGTTGATGTTGGTACATAATACTGCAATTATATATGCTTCCAGAGATCCGATAGTATGATCTTGTTTTTTCCATTTCACACCAAAATCAGGTATGTGATTTTGTTTTGTTTAGTTTTTCTATCCTTTTACCCTTTGCTGTGATCATCCTAGGTTGAGTTGTAATGGGAGAGAATTTGTAGCACATTTTTGCATATCATCAAAGAAATCACATTTTTAGTTTAGCATGTTAGAATCAACGAAATAAAAAGGAAATTTGTTACTTAGTAACAAAAATAAAGCTCCAATGTTTAGTTTAGCATCTTAGAATCAATTTAGGTATGTCTTTATTGACTTCGAGGACAAAAATGGTACTTAACATCACAGGCGCAAGGTAGTTTAGTTAGTTCTCATTAAGACCAAAAGCAACTAGCAATAAATAAAAGCAATTAAAACAAATTAATTAGTAAAATTAAGTTTAAAGTTTGAAGTAGCAGTGGTTCAGTCTGTATTATTTTGGGATCTCTAGCTATAAAGAAATTAAAGCAATTACAAAAATATGGCTAAAGTTGCAAGAACATGGTTTTGTTGTCTAGGACTTGAGGGCTTGTGCCACTAGAGCCTGTAATTGGAAGTCCAAACTACGTGTATTTTTTTAATTATTTGATTAAAATCTCCTCTTCTTCTTCTTCTTTTTTAACTTATAATAAAAAATAATTATACATCATTTGGTAAAATCATTATCTAAAAAAATAGAAATTTCATGATTCATAAAATCATGATCATTCATTTTACATTATCATCCAATAACAATGAATTCTCATTATTTGCATCAGATTTAGCGTAATATTCCATACAACACGGTATTTGATAAAAATGAAATTTTATTTAAAAAGAAATCCCAAAATTTAAGAAAATAATTGTGATATAAAATTCCTTTATAGTCTTAATTAATTGTAAGTTTACATATATATATATATATATATATATGTTTTTTGGCATTTACCATCAGGAATCCTTAAATTTCTTTAGAAGACATGAAAGAGAGGTTAGAATTCAGTCATTTCGCACAATAATAGAACAAGATTACCAATTAAAGAAATGGGAATAGCATCTTTAGTTTTTTTTTTTTTTTTTTTTTTTCCTAGTGTGACGGTAAAAATATTTTCAGTTGATCTTACGGGCTAACTGAAAATTAAGTGGTTTTCTCTCTCTTTTTTCAGTTCAACAGTAAGAATATTTTTGTATCATTTTATGCGTTGACCTAAATAAATTGTTTTTCCCACCATCTTAAATAGGAAAACTTTTTTTTTAATTTCACTTTAAACATTTTTATGAAAATTTTCAACCCATTGAAAGAATTATAAAGCTTATCATGGGCCAGATGGGCTTTGGTTTTACAAATTTGAATGAGCCTAGCCTGAAGTCCTTAAAACTTCAGCCCATGAACTAAGTCTAGTTTCTTTAATGTATTTGGAGATTTTAGTAGTCTTCTTTCGGACAAGATGATATCATGGAGATTTTTTAATGGACAATTAGTAATAAATACAATGAGCCTAGCCTCTTTCAATAGAAATGTATGTAATGGGTTAGCTCTGTTGAACTCCTCTTATGGGCCTATCTCTAAAGTTGTACTAAGTGCTTTCTGATATCTAGGAGTAAAACCTTTGCAATATTGGTTTATATGAAGTAAGGCTATAGATCGGATATAAAATAAATACTCATTTTCTCCTTGTTTGGATAGGGAGGAAAGAGGAGGAGAGGAAAAAAATAGGAAGAAAAGGAAAGTTTTTCTCTGTTTGGTTTGGAGAGGAGAGCAATGGAAAGAAAAAAAAAATTTAACAAATGTCTTTTTGGTGGGACTCATTTTCCTCCTAAATTTTGGAGGAAAGTGGGAGAAAACCATGATGCTTAACAATTTTTTTTAATTTATGTTTTTACCCTTACTCACATGTGTCTTACTAAGCTCCATGTGAGTCCAAGCAAAGTTTTGTGGTTGGTGTTTATAGTAGTTTTTGGGCACGATTCTTTTCCATTTCCTAAAAAATATCTACTTTTTCACGTGCTTTTTCACCCTATAACACAATATTTTTGTTCTTTAATTTGGGGTAAAATAGAGTAAGTACGTGTGATAATGCAATGCATATGCTTTTATAAAAATATGTTATCATTAATTTGATATTTTTTTTAAGATACTTTTTGATATTTTTAACATTAATATATCAAAATTATTATCACTAAAGAATGTAATCTTAGATACTACATGCTAGATTTTTATTTTATTATCATTTTTGTAATTTTAATGGAAAAAAATATTCATAAAAATTTATTTATACAAATTTATTATAAGTATTTAAATATAAAAATATAATTATAGAGGTATTATAGTAAATATATAATAATACATTTTTTTCCTCCTTCTTTTGCAATTATCCAAACAGGGAAAATATACTTTCTTTCTTTTCATTTCTACTCTTATCCAAACAAAAAGTGAAAAATAGTTTTCTTCCATCCCACTTTTCTTCCTCTCTTTTCTTTCCTCCCAAGAGGAAATATCCAAACACAAGGTTTAATCGGCATCATAAATATTCATTGGGTATTAAAATAGACAAGAATAAGGATAAAAATACATATTCGTTAATATGGTTTTAGAATATGAGTAGTCATTCCTTACTCTATTAATATTCACTAATTTGTTTTTATTTTTTAAAAAACATATAAGAATCTAATTGCATAAACTTTAAAAATTAAAGACTAAAATATTTTTTCAAAAACTTTGAGGACCAAAAAACTTATAAAAATGACCAAAATCTAAAAAAAAATAATTTTTAAAGATTAAAAAACTTTTAATGAAAATTATAATGACTAAAATGAAATATTTTTGATAAATATTTTTAACGGGTATTAAATAGATACTAAATGGGCGAGTAAACTATTGTGAATCGGGTAAAGATTTATATGGTGATCTTTTTTAATGAGTACTAATTTGTTTTTATTTTTTTTAAAATGTAAGGATCAAATTGGATAAACTTTAAAAAATTAAGGACTAAATATTTGTTTTCAAAAACTTTGAGGACCAAAAAACTTATAAAATGACCAATATGTAAAAAAAATAAATTTTAAAGACAAAAACTTTTAATGAAAATTATAATGACTAAAATGAAATATTTTTGATAAATTATTTTTAACGGGCATTAAATAGATACTAAATGGGCGAGTAAACTATTGTGAACCGAATAAAGATTTATATGGTGAACTTTTTGAATGGGTATGATATTTTTTTATAAATAGGATAAAAAAATTGAATTAATGGATCAAATATCCATTTATTGTCATCCTTAATTTATACACTACGTGGTTATTTCCTACATTCTTATTTTTTCGTTCTTTAACATGTTCAAAATATACTTGTGATAGTTAAATATAAATAGAATTAATAAATGACAAATTGAATAAGAACCAAAAAGGTACACTTGTATATCCACAATCTTACATCCTTAACTTGTAAGTAACAAAAATGAAATGGAACTTATAAGTGAAATATATAAGACTAGGAGTGTTCCATTTCATTTTGTTACTATAGGTTAAGGAAGTAACTATGTTAGATCAAATCAAAATAAATAAATAAAAGTTACATAGGTATGTAATAATTTACATAACTCATAATAGATGGATTTATACTTAGAACACAAGATTGTCCTCACTTTTACTCTTGAGCCAGTCTTTGTAATATTTTTTACAATTTGATAACCTTATCCAATTGGTGAATCTAATCAGGTAATATTCTTAATTGTTGTTACAAATTTCAATAATCATTTCAAGTTGTTGTCAAATAAAATAATTCTATTGGATTAACAACTTTGATGGTAGCCTTTATGACATGGACAAAAAGAGTAAAAAAAAGAAAAGAAAAGCAACAAAATAAATACCTACTAAGAACAACCAATCATCAACTTGTAAAAATTCTATTTATAATGAATATAATTTAAGAAAATAGAACTCAAAGATTTAATCAAAACATCAATAGAGTTGAGAGAAAATTTGAAAACCACAAGACCTAACAAAAACTTCCTTACTTATTCAAACAAGAACATTTGCAAAATCAATTTAATAATCTAATTCACCTGATGAGCATAGAATTTTTTAAATTGTTGATGTACATAGTGAATCAATTTTGGAGAGGTGATGCTTCTGAGTAAAAAACACCAATCACCTGTTGAAAAGACCATCTTACCCGTTTTATTCATGCAAACTTTTCTTCCCCTCCTCCATTTCCTCCGTACATCCTGTAATTTTTAAGGCTTGGTCCCATCAAAGTGAAAAGAGGCCTCCAATCCCTACCAAAAAGCTGAGATATTGTGTAAGATATAATATTTACAGTCTCCCAATCTTGTAACCACTCTCAGGATTGAGTTTTAACTTTGTTTAGTAAGAAGTATGAAAAAAAAAAAAATCCTTCCAAGTTCCAATCATTCTTACTCGTTGGGGATGGATTTAAAGGGGGTAAGGGTGGTCTTGCCCTTCAAAGTTCTAAAAATTTTCAAAACCTCTCTAGTTTTGCAAAATGTTTAAATAAATTCTACGAAATCCCCTTAAATT